ACTAAACATGTCATCGGACTACCAAGATTTGGCATGTTTGGCTATGGTTGAGATCATCCACGGCCGCCTCTTTCCCTTCCCGGCCTTCTCGCGGAAGTACCGGTCAAAGACGTAGTAGGGATCGAGCCGGATCTGCTCGTCGCCAGAGTTGTCCTCGCCGTCGATGTCGTCCTTCTCCTTCTTCAATGGCAGTCCGGCCATGTCACAGACCGTCTGATTCTCCTCTCGGACGAAGACTTGAGTGTTCCTCCGCTATCGTTTCTTCACAATGCGGGCGTAGATGGCTTCCTCCTATGCGGCAACCCGTGTCGTCGCCATTTCCACCGCGATACGCCCCTCGGTGGCCCTTATCCTCTCCTGACCATGGCGGGCCGCCCGTTCTCGCTGGGACTCGTAGTCTGCCCTACCGGTGATGGGGAAGGAGAGATTTTCCACCTGTCAGGACCGCGATGATCCATCCCCAGAGGACCCAAGCACCCGTTGAGCCGACGATATGGAGTCGTGCCGGACAGATTCACTCGTTGGCCGGGCGTTGTCCTCCCAGGAGTAGCAGAGTGCAATGCAGACCGTCGTTGCCTCCTCTAACCCGCACGGGACACCCCAGTCGACGCATCCGGACTGGTTGGAGTCAGATCCGCTGCCGACATGCTGGAGACGGCCGTAAATCACCGGAGATGAGCTCGGTGACCGAGGGAGTGGAGTGGAGAGGAGTGTGAAGTGCTTAGGGTTTGGTCCGACGAGCGGATAGGGAGGAATATATGTGTGGCCGAGTAGACTAGCGTGGGCCGAGTCTGACGTGACGGGCACGCACGGGCGCGTCCGGGCGCCCCCATATCCGTCCCATATTTGGGCTGGATATGAGGGGTGCCGGTCAACCGGGGTGTTTGAGGCATGTTTGAGGCCCCTAACTAGATCGAATTTTTGTGATCGGATAGTGACCGGGTGGCCCGCCCAGATGTCTGAGAAGGGTTTCAGGTGCCCAATTGTAGATGCTCTTATTCCCTCCCTCACTGCACCTTGTGCGGGTGGTAATCTGAATTCCTTAGATGAAATAATCTGAATCTCTGTCAGTATTAGTTTCGCAATGCAAACAAATATGTTTAGACAGCACGTAGATTATAATTTCTGCCTATTTCTTGATCTGAAACAAAACAATCTACCTAGCTATGCATTCATCTAGGGAATTCAGATTTCAGTGCTAGGTCGTTCGGTGATGGCAACAACAGAGAAAATGAACGTCTTACATTAGTGAACAGCGGGAGTACATAGCAAGACACCTGCAAAAGTTAGCTAGATTGTTATTGATTTTCTTAGTGGCATATGTTTCCTTGTTAAAACAAAAATTGGTATTGGGTTGAGCTTTTCTCAATAATTTTCTTTGTTTTTTTATAGTGAGGTTAATGTTTCATGTCAATGTGACGAGATTTGGTGTCAGGTGCTTTAGATTTATGCAAGGGTTAAACAACAACGACTACGACTCCAGGGCACTGGTCCTTAGGGACACATGCACGAATACTTACGGGCTGCCTCATTGATAAGATCATGCCGGCTCCGATAGGGGAGCGACGATAGCGATGAGTCGGTGTCTCATTCTGGCAGCAATAGTGATCGTTTGGTGGTTTCGGAATCTTGATATAATTTTATTATGTTTGAGATGCTTTGTACTTGTACTTCTAGTTAACTTTTATAATATAATTGATCCATTTGAAAATAGAAAGTTGCTCCAAGACAGTAACTATAGATGTCTGTTCGATGCAAAAAAAAATACAATAAAAGAAACTATAGATATGCATGTCCCCTGGTTGATCTACCGGTTGTCTCATGCATAACTCAACATATAGAATTTCTCTGGATACAATGGATTAGACAACTAAATGCAGCTCTGGTACGTATGCGATCTGAATTTTCCATTACCCATATTTCATCAATACACCCTGATGTTGTTTGCTGTTATTTACATCCAGGTAAAAATTGTGGGTGGTCATCAACAAAGTAGTTTTGGGCCAGAATTTGAAGCTATCCATGAAACAATTACATCCACAAGTGCATTGACATTCTCGGGACCTGTGTTCGCAGAGTGCCAAAAGTGGTACCTATACCTCCTTAGCAAGCTTCCCATGGGGTGCCTGTTGTTAGATTTGCAAGGAGTTGACCTCCACGGTTCACTGCATCAGCCATTCCTAGTGGAACGTTAGGAAGTACCTGAAGAAACAACACACCTTATTTTTCTGAAACAAGTGCCACAATTAGAAAGTCTTTCGTCTAGCAATTATAAAGTCTTTCGTCCCACAAGCGCAGGATCTGAAGCAGCTGAGGAACACAGACGCCGGGCGTTACTAGTAATTTAACCTTCAGTTTTCTAATAATAACGCCTGTAAAAAACATAATCATCAACCCCTCCTTGTAATGAGCTAGCTCAAGAGGCGGCGTACTCTATATAAGCCACCTCATAGCATTTAGTGAAGGATTAGCATTCATTTGTACTCATCCAGACATAAGAAGAACAACTCCAACAGCTCGAGGTGCAGGGTCTTTACCTCCACCGTGAAGGGCCCGAACTCGTAAACATCTTGTGTCACACCTTCTCCGTAGTTAGACCATGCTCCTTCTCACTACCCCTCTCTTACTGTCAGGTCGGAATTGTTCCCAGGGTACCGATCTCCCTCACATTTAGCATTTGGACGTAGTCGACGAAGCTTCGGTGTAGATTATTATCGTATTTTTGGACGGTGAGGTTAAGGCTTCATGTCATGTGATAAGATTTGGTGTCAGGTGCTTCAGATTTATACAAGGGTTCAACAACGACGAATGCGACTCCAAGACGCTGGTCCTTAGGGGCACATGCACGAAGACTTCCGGGATGGCATCAACAAGGTCAAGCCGGGTCCAATAGGGCAGTGGCGATAGCGGCGAGTCGGTGGCTCGTTCTGACGGCAGTAGTAGTCGTTTGGTGGTCTCGGAATCGTGATATAATTTTGTTACGTTTGAGATGCTTTGTACTTTCGGTTAACTTTTATAATATAATTGATTCATGTGAAGAAGAAAAAAAGTTGCTCTAAGACGGTAACGATAGCGGCAAAGGGAAAGGCCGGAAGCCGACAGAGCGAATCCTCCACGGCGGGCGAGGCGGCGGCACCGCCCGCCGGAGAATTCCTCCGCAGCAGCCCATCCGGCACCGCATCGCCGTCTCCTTTCCCATCCGCAACCGCAAGGCAAGGCCTCTCCTCTCCCTCTCGCCCCCTCTGCATGCCTCTGCTCCAGCAGAACCCTAGCTAGTTCCACCGAATCAATCGTGGTGCCATACGTATCCCGTTGCTTCTTTAATTCTTTGTTCAGCCCATCTCTTAATTATTTCCCATAACCCTGCGACTACGAGATCATCTCCGTGGACCGATTTGACACCTACTAGTGGATTCTGTTCCCGTTGCCGATCGTTTCTTTTTTTAGATTAGAGGGCACCGTCCTGAAATGATCTGCCAAGCTCACGAAAGGAAAGGGGGCCTTTTGAAACATCTGAACAGCGCTTTGCCTTAGCGTTTGAACTGCTTGCCCTCCCTGGGTGGTATTATCTTGTTCCCAACACGACAGCCTGCGGCGACCCACCGGAATTCAATCAGATCAAATTTGTTGTTTTTACTGCATAGCAAGTTCCTTTCATTTGATAGGCATTTTATTCCGGTTTTCGTTAGTTGGCCGTTATGAGCAATTTCATCTACCCAATGGAAGAAACAAAAAGGTTTCTTCTAAAAACATCTGTGCAACGGTTCAGTGCGCCGAAGCGGTTACAGAGCTAGAACGGCACCTGTCACTTTTATTTACTGTATACAATTGAGATACATTCCATATGCAAGTATATTCTTGGCCTGGGTGCTAGTGCTAGCTTAAGCCCACCAATACGAGATACAAACTGTTGCTTTCGGTGCATAGGAAGCTCCTCCTTTCATTGATAGGCATACATTTCAGTTTTTGTTAGTCGGTTGTTTTCATCTATTTGAGCGCCCCTGCAGAGATGATCGATCTGCACCTGTCACATTTGCTTACAGAAAGAATACTCATAGGGATACATTTCCATGGGCAAGTATCTTCTTGCCCTGGGCACTGTTAGCTTATTCCGAACATGAGAGGACCACCACTGAAATTTAACCGTATCAAAATTGCCGCTTTTAGAGTTCCTTTGATTTTCATCAGCATACATGGATACCGTATATTTGTCCATCCACTCTTATTATTCCTGGTGCAATAACAAGTTTGTTTGATTACATTGATAGATAGATAGGCATATACTCTCTATCAAACCTGCAAAACATCATTTTCTTATCTAGTATATTCTAATTAACATGCTACTTATGCCTCTTATTATTTATTAAGCAGCTCACTGTTTTTCTACTGCTTGCAGATAGTTTGCCATCAGCAGAGCGCCATGCAAAACCCCAGCAGGCGGCCCACTGTCTCTCTCGCTGGACCCCCTGCTTGTTCCGGTATCCAAGGTTGGGCTGACCTCCCAGATGAGTTGCTTCATCCCATCGTTGCTCGATTGCGCTCTTTTCGAGACATTCTTGGCTTCGCCGCAACATGCCCCTCTTGGCGTACTGCCTACTCTTCATACCCATCGAAATCTACATTCCGCACAAAATTCCCACCTCTCCTCATCCAGCCCCGTGTCCGTCATGTACAAGGTCCTCTTCTTCCTTCTACTGATGGTTGCCGTGAGCTACTCAAATGTAAGGATATTGATCCTGCCAACCCGAACGCCGCCCTTCACTGCCAGATTCCTCGAGAAACCCTGGAGAATATAAAATGTATCGGCTCTTCCTATGGTAATATCATCTACTACCGCGAAGGATATTGTCGCATCGTCGATGTCTTCACTCTTCACTGGTGTGGAGGTTTCAGCTCCATGTCTCCCACCCAGTGCCAAGTGTTCGATATACCGCTGTAATGGCATTCTAACAGCCCCTGTCACATTCTCTCGGATGTTCAGTTCATTCTCTCGGATGGCAATGGGTGGTTCCACTCTGTGCAGATGGCCCCTCAGCTTGGTCTACATGCAGGATATAACAACCGACAAGGAGGACTGGAGTCAAGAACATCGTGATATGACAGCGCTGGTGGTTTGTGGTGACATGCTTATCGTTTTTATTCCCTTCCCTTGGGAGCTCTACCGCCTCGACGTGTCGACCGAGCCCGCGACAGTGCTGCCCATGGAGAAGCTGGATGATTGGGCGCTCTTTCTGGGGGCAGAACCAAACGGCATGCCACTTTCGTGCATGAGCCCGCCCGGAAAAATGGGGAGGGAGGAGCAACACCTCGTACTGTGTCGGCTATGGCTCTCAGCCTTGTACTCCCTCTGTAAACTAATATAAGAGTGTTTAGATAACTAAAATAGTGATCTAAACGCTCTTATAATAGTTTACGGAGGGAGTACTTTCCACGGACTGCGTGAGGAGCCGGATCCTGTGTTGGACACGCCGCCCGTTGACTGTGACCATTGGAATCCGCCGCTTTCTCGCGCTCACAGGGACCGCTACTCCGACCCTTGGGCTATACGCTGGTACGGCGAACAGGACCCCGTGGAGTTAGCTCTGCCACTCTGGCCGTACCCAAGCATGTTCTACTATGGTGCCGGAGAGTGATCCGCCTCTTCGAAGGCTTCCATTTGGTCTGAGTGTGTTGGCGGCCGCGTTAGTGCCGTGAGCTTGCTACAGTTAATTATTACCCAAGTCTCATGATGTTGGTCTGCCGACTTTACCTATGCTCTCTCTGTTTAATAAGTAATACTTTCACTAAGTGTCTAGTACTGTACTTTATATAGTTGGCACAGGGGCACACGCCCTATCAATTTGCATGCTACTGTCGTGTATACTCACTTGCTATATATTCAGGACATGGTTCTGAAGCAGCCATGGCAGCTTCTTATCGTTTCAGTGCTTCGATAGTCCGAACATGCCTTATGATTATAAAAGTGAAAGAATCTTTACTGCTGCTCCGATAGTTCATATTAGTCCTGATTTCACTTCGATTGCGGCAGAGATGCGCCGTTGAGGCCCGTGTTGTGGCCGGCCTTCCACCGACCTCGGACGAGGAGGGGGTTGGCCCGTGCTCAGAGGAGATACCAATGGGCAATGGCGGCTCACCCAAACGCCACCGGGTGATGTGGAAATCTTGGTGGTTCATTTGCAGCTGTAGCGAGTAATGTACTCCTACTAGTAGTTGAGGAGTGGTAGGACGGGGCCAATCCTAGTCGAGGAGTTTATCTGGACTACTGGTAACAATGTGGTCAATCTGGTATGCGAGACGGAAAGCAATTTTTGGTGATGAATATCAGAGCCCTTTATCAACATTCAGTTTCATTAATAAATTTCCGAGTGATCTCGATTTCATTCGGGAGCAGAAACCTGCGAGACAGACTAGTTGTGTTGCAACTTGCAAGGGACCTAAGTGGATTGCGCCGCCTCCGAATATCATGAAGATCAATGTTGACGCAGCTTTATTTTGGCGAAATCAGCCAATAAGGGGGCGGTCTCGCTGTTGCCAGAACTGCTACAGGGGAGCGACTACTTGGGGTGTTGGTCTGTAACTTTTGAAGGACTGTCCGATCCAGCAATTCTGGAGAACTTGGCATGCAGAGAAGCTCTAGCACTGTCAGCTGATCTGAATCTTGGACGAATTAAAATAGCCACAGATTGTTTTGGAGGTTGCTAACTAAGTGTCTCCGTTCTTTCCCACGAGAGCTGCCTGACAAAGGTGTGTTCAGCTTTATTACTCATTCATGAGTGCCAGGACCGGGCAAAACGCTCTCAAGAAGCAGGTTTCTGTCATGAAGGACGAGCTTCAATGGTGAAGCTCATAATTTATCCCGCTATGCTACGTCCCTTGATGTTGGAACATCGGTTTGGTTTGGAAACCCACCGATGAACCTTTGTATCCCTATGTCTGTGATTGTATCAATATAATAAGAGAAAAGTATACTTTTCATCCCTCAATTCTTGGCGGAGTCTAGATTTAGTTCCTCAACTCTAAAACTGGACAACTTGCACCCTTAACTTCTCAAACCGGACAAGATTCATCCCTGGGCACGGTTTTGACCGGTTTTGGTGGTGCCCCACCCCAGTTTTAACCGTTCCGACTCAAATTTGCCTACCTTTTCCAAGTCCACCTACTGTTTTCAAATTCGATTACTTTTTCAAATACGTGAATCTTTTTAAATTTTGTGTACTTTTTTTAAATCAGCGTACTTTTTTCCAAGTTCATGTATTTTTCAAAAATGCATATGTTTTTAAAGTTCATTTAGTTTTTTAAAAATTTAATTTTTTAAAATTGATGCACCTTTCATATTCGAGTACATTTTTCTGAAAGAGTTCATGAATTTGAAAATTTTATGCAAACTTGAAAAAAGTACGCGGATATGGACTTCTTTTGCGCAAAATATGTGGATTTCAAAAATTATTTCAACTTGAAACAAGTACGTGAATTTCATACTACAAAGTTCATGGATTATAAAAGCAACACGGATTTGAAAAAAAAAACGGACTTTGAAAAGCATGTGGATTTGAAATAAGTATGTGAATTTCAGAAACAATTCATGGCTTTGAAAAATACTTGGATTTGATAAATTTACGCAAACTTGGGAAAAATACGGGGATTTGGAAAAAATACGTAAATGTTAAAAATCACGGATTTGAAAAAAGTACACGAATTTCAGAATAGTTCGCTGATTTGAAAAAAAATATGTTTATTTTTTAAAAAATACGCGACCTTGAAAAAACTATGCAGAGTTGAAAAGTGTATGTGAATTTTAAAAAGTTCACGGATATAAAAAAATTACAGGAATATGAGTGAGCACCGATCAAAACCGGGGTGAGTCAACACCAAAACCCGGTCAAAACCGAGTCCAGAGACGAACCTTGTCCGGTTTCGGTAGTTGGGGGTGCAAGTTGTCCGGTTTTGAAGTTGAGGGACCAAATCTAGACTTCACCAAGAGTTGAGGGACGAAAAGTATACTTTTCTCATATAATAAAGAGGGGGGCGATTCTAAAAAAAGGAGGATATCAATCATCCAACAAAAGAAGGATCTGACCCTCCCACGCCACTCCCGTGGACGACGGGGAGGACGCTACCGCCGCCGCCACCAGTACCCACCCTCCCTCCCTCCTCCCTCACCGCCGCCAGAGGACGTGGTCGGGCAAAGCCTGGCCGGTGTCGGTGGCGGCGAGGCGTGTCACCTTCTCGCGCAGGGCCTCTACCAAGGGGTGGCACGGCAGGGCGGCGATGGTGAGGGTCAAGGTGGTGCAGCGGCGGATCCCCATGGCGGCAGCGCACGACGGGCTTCGAGGTGGCGGATCATGCAGGCGAGGGGGTGGCGACGGATCAGGATCCGCCCCGATCTGGCGTCCGTCTTCAACCGGCGGCATGGGCTGTGGGCGCCGCGGGACGGCGCCCTCCGTCGTGGCGGCGATGGTGTCGATGTGGTGGAGGCAAGTGGCGATCCTAGTGCTCTTTTGGCATCACAACAGCGATCTACATGATCGGTCATCCTTGATCTTGCCATCGACGTGTTCTGGAACTGTTGCCGGAAATCTTGCCAAGGATATCTGGATCAGATAGAATCCGGTCATGCATGTCCATATCAGCCTAAGCGGCTCCATGAGGGCGCGGCGCGAAGCTCTGTTGTTTGTTGACACCATGGGACATGTCGTTATCTCAACTAGTGATTGGGGCGCCACCCTGTGGCGCCGCTTGAGAGGAAGTTGTGCACACGTTTCTATTTAAAAAATACATAGAGTCCTCACCCCCGTCTAAAAAAAATCTCAAAAAAATAATAATCCTCATCTTTATCTATTTTTTTACCACAACATCCTACCAGCAAGTGCCACTTTGCATACCCACCATTTAAAAAATATCAGAGGTCCTCATCTCTATCTAAAAAATACATTTAAAAAATAATCCACACCTTCATCTAAAAAATTGTAAAAGATTTCTCACCGCGGCCAACCAGCTTGCGCCATGTGGCATAGCTGGTTGGCCGCCCTTCACGCGTAGCTTAATGGTTTTAATTTCCATGGCATAGATTGTAAGTGCATCTAGTGCCACGCCTTATTGGTTTTGGAGTACTGAAGACAAACTTGGTTGAGCGACTAATGTGTTGTGAGATTCACAGGATAACACAGATAGAAGTCCCTAGAGATTCGGTTTAACCATTGAAGACGACCCCTAAAAATGTCCGAAGACATTGAAGATATCAGTTACTCCTAAATGGGCTAGCCCAAGTCGGTTGCTCGGCTTGGTCGCCTTTGTACGTAGCAAGGACAACTTGACGCAAAGGAAGTCACCTTTTTGCCGAGAGGCTGAGCCGGCACATCATATAGAGATTGACGCAGTCGTCAGACACCTTCATTGCTGACAAAAACGTCTTTTCCCACTGAACGCACCTCACCGGAAGGTCTGAAATAAAACCAGGAAAATACGAGCACCGGTGTCAAGTCTAGGACTTGAACCCTGGTGTGTTGGGGACACCATTGTCATCCTAACTATCCAACCACTGGTAGGTATATTAACGTGGGAGTATCTAGGGAGTCTCTATTCTATTCATGTCAAAAAAAGAAAGAGTATTATTTCTATCTTCGGTGGAAGGAATGCTTTGGAAATAATATATCATAAGATATACTCCTATTCCATAGAAGCAAACACCATTAATAATCATGTAAGCTGATTCACATGTCGATGGAAACACCATTAATAATCATGTAAGGCAAAAAAAAATCCATTCCCGCTCAAAAAAGGGCAAAAAAATCCATATGGAGCAACGTTTCTACTAGTAGCAAAATTAATAACCATGGAAACAAAATTTGCATCTTAGTAAGGCAGCAAATTACATGTCGTAGTGCCAGATTTCCAGATATATTACCATCCGAAATTAGTTTGCTAAATATCTGAAAAGGTATATTTTTTCCGAAATATATATAGTTATTACCAAATGGAAGGTGCGCGCCAGATTTTACCCCTTTGACGATTTTTGCAAGGACAAAATCACACCAAAAGTTTTTAAAAAAAAAAGCATACCTCGTGGAGTTACCATTCAATCACAGCCGTGTGTTTTGACTTAAAGTTACTGCAGTTTTTTAAGTTGGAAAGCACAGAACTTCTGGACAGTACAAGAACGAAGATAAGTGTTCCAGGCAAATATTATACATTTAGATATATATAGGTGGCATATATATACAGGCGCAATAGCATGAGTGCGAGGTTCTGGAGCAAGGCTTGCTTTTAATTCAGAGTTCATCATGCATAGGCAGATTACCACTACAGATATATCATCGAACCCAACGACAAGCCAACAGTAAGAGGATAGTATAGGTTAGCGTAGGGTGTCGCGGATGAATCTAGCTTCCACATGACAAGCAGTCCTCCCGGTTGTTCAGGGAGCAGGTCACCTGCGCCATCTTAGCCTGGAGATCCTCTTCCTCCTCAGCATTCGCAGGCTTCTTATCCTGCACGTTCAGTGTTGCTCACGGTAAGGATCATGTCTAAGCAGTCGTGTGGAGAAAAATATGGATCTGCAAATCAGTGAAGTATTCACCTTGAGAAGACTAGTGTCCACTGTGAATTTGATCGCATCGGCAGCAGCACGTGTCCT